TGAACATTCCAATCAATAAGTAAGAAGTTCAGAACGAAGAAAGTGAGGTTCTGTGAAGAGGTGTCCGGTGATCGTGGTCCCCTCAGATTAATCTAACCCTTGCAGATATGGTACCGTAATCATCCCTGCCCTCGAGAATGTGAACTCTTCCCCTCCAGAAGGAACTGGTTTGGCAATTCCTCTAGTGGCCAGCTTCACAATAGATCTTCATGAGTTCAAATGGGAGTCGACTTCAAGGAGAGAACCAGAAAATATCAATAATTATCAAATATCTTCCTTTCCGCAAGCAGGTGAATCAGAGAGTTTCTGTTTTGCGGAAATCGGAAGACGTAACACAATTCCTGCCACTGAAGAAACACATTTCAATAGTAATAATAGTTGCACTAGCTCAAGCGCTGAAATGATGAGGGTTTCAGCTTGGAGCACACGCAATGAAAAATCGAAAGTACACAACGGAATGCACCATTTGAGCAACGAGTAATAATAGTAACAGAAATAACAGCCAGTAGTAGCCCTTATTGGAGTTTCACTTCATCCTTTTTTCATTGCAGTCAACACAGGTGTGACAGCAGTAAGGAAGTTTTTAGCTAGGGTAAGGAACGCCGCTCTCAGTTATGCTGTGTAGGACCACTACAGTATACTGACATGTCAGAGATTTGAGGCATAGCGCATTGTTTCGAAGAACATGGCGCTTAGTTCTTGCAACCCATGCTCTTTCATCAGCACTTCTACTATCCAGCACTTCTTCTAAGAACTCAAAGAGTTTTTGTTGTTGGTGTGCTCCTTGTCCCATTAGCAACCGAAGCGGGCTCGCTCGTTCCTAAAGTTGCATCCATAATTTGCGGCAACGTCCAGTATGGATATCGATTTAGCGTTTACCAGCGTCTGACAGCGTTCACCAGCGTTCGCAAGCAACCAGGAGTAGAGAGTATGGGGAAGTAGGAGGGTAAAACAGATGGATTAGGCCTTATGAAATGGCGGCGCTTGCAACCGCACCGCTTAACTACGCTACACCATACATCAAATTGCATACTTCCGTACTTTAGCGATTGTTGCACACGCCGCAGTTTCACAACACCTAATCCAGCTGTTTGCTACCCTCCTACTTTCCCATACTCTCTACTCCTGGTCGCTGGTGAACGCTGGTGGACGCTGGTAGACGCTGGTAGACGCTAGATCGATACGTATACTTCTCTAGCCCTCGAGACACTTAGATGATGGTTGACGCCAGATCGATATCTACACTTTCCCTAGTCGCTGACGTTGCCGGACGCTCAGAACGC